CCGAAGGGTTCAGTTTATACTGCATTGTGAAACAGTAGGAAATTTCCCCATGCAAAAACCTTTTCGTACCCAAAAGCAACAAAATAATCTGATATTCAGCTCTCAAGGGGGAAAAAAAAAAAATCGGGACCTGTAATAGGTACATTCATGATAATGTGCAAGGCACCTTGGTGTGTTCACTGCCCCCCAGAGATACGCAGGAACGCGGCAAGAGAAAGCTGGAGTCACTCCCAGGGCTCCGGCACAGCCTCGCTGGCTCGGGCCCGCCGCGGCCCCTGGGCCTGCCGCCGCGGCCCCTGGGCCTGCCGCCGGCCCCTGGGCCTGCCGCGGCCCCTGGGCCTGCCGCCGCGGCCCCTGGGCCTGCCGCCGGCCCCTGGGCCTGCCGCCGGCCCCTGGGCCTGCCGCCGCGGCCCCTGGGCCTGCCGCCGGCCCCTGGGCCTGCCGCCGCGGCCCCTGGGCCTGCCGCCGGCCCCTGGGCCTGCCGCCGCGGCCCCTGGGCCTGCCGCCGGCCCCTGGGCCTGCCGCCGGCCCCTGGGCCTGCCGCCGCGGCCCCTGGGCCTGCCACCGGCCCCTGGGCCTGCCGCCGCGGCCCGTGCTGCAGCAGCAAGCAGGTCACCGGCCGCGCTCTCCCCGAACCGGCGTGCCCTCACCTCGCCCCGCGGGTGCTCCGCTGGGACGGCGCTGGGCAGGCATTCCTCGAAGAAGGAAGGAGGGGGAGGAGGGTGGTTTAAACCTGGAACGAGAATCCTTCAGCCAGAACTCACCTGACAAAAAGCGATCCTTTTCTGATCAGCCTCTTGAGAGCACAGAAGAATTAAAGCAACCGTCCTGGGTATTTGGGACTGCTTGATGTGTTTGAAGTAATTGTGGGAACTATTAACTATCTGTTAATTTACCTGCGGTGATTTGAACCGACCAGGCTGTGGAAGGGAAGTCTGTCTTCCCTCAGAAATGACTGTGGCTTGTTGAGGGGATTATCGAAGTGTCCGCTCCTGTGAGGACACTTACATGCTGGGACCCAGCGCTGTTCCTGGTGGAGGCACCCTGTCAGACGGTCGGGTCTCCAGGCACTATCGAATCTGGACGCTTCCAAGGACTAAAGTACCTGTAAGAAGCCTAAGACATGGAGGCACACATAAATCCAGCTCAGATAGTTATTTTCAACAGGCAGAGCAAGCGTGAGACCTCAGAACTTGTACGCAAAGGCGGGTTTTCATAGTGAGGCACAGGCTTCCAGCAGTGTTTCTCGAGCGCCCATTTATGTTTGAAGAAGCAAACCCGAGCCCGAGGGCCGCAGGGCCTGACCGGGGGAATGCTGCGTGCAGGCTGCTTAGGCTCCTGGCACCAGGCGAAGCACCCATAGAAATCCGATTTTAGCTCGCTGGCTTCCAGAGCAGGCTGCCGGTTGCAGAGGCAGCAGATGACATTAAGGAGGACGAGCCCTCCATCTGCTATCGAGGCTCATCCCAACCAGACGTGTCCCTCTTGCCGCCGTGCTTTTGTTGAGCGATACCTACTGCTGGGCTGACCTACCCAACGCCGCGCCCTGGCCGCTGCGGTGAGGTCTGATGTGCTGTGCAGACAGATGAGCTTCAGGTAAACGGCAGCCGTAAAGAGAAAAGCCCCACGATCACCAAGGGCAGGATCTCTGTGCAGAAAAAGAAAGGGCCACTGCTCTTCCGCGGTGACTGCATTTTATGTGAGCTGCCCCCAGTTCTCACCCCCGTGGGGAGCGGTGTCCTCTGGCGCTCAGCGTCTTGGCCACAGCGTCCCGTGTGTCTCGGAGGGGAGGAGGATGTGGGCGTCACACGCGGCGAAATCACGATTATACGCTGGGGACATGAAGAAGCTCCTTAGCTGCTTAATAAACACTGCTGCAGTAGTGTTTGTTTTATTAATAATATACAAGGCGTCCTGGCTGCTGTTCAGAAATAAGTTATGGATCCAGCAGCGATTAGGTACAGCTTAACTAGGCGGTACAAAGGATGAAACCCGCTTGTTCAGGCCTCAAGGTGCCTTATGCCGCAGGGTGATAAAGTAGGTGAAGAAACACGTTGTCAGTTCGTGTGGAAACATGCCAAGAGGCACGCAGCTCTTGACTGATAGAAAACATAAAGCCCATTCCAGGCAGTTCTTCTCACATTTTCCTGTTGCAAATATAGGTAGAAACGTTCCCAGAGTAGAGCCTGAACCTGGAGCAGCTGCAGAACTGACACAGGTCTCCATCAAGCAGGCATTAACGTGAAATATGATTAAGCTAATTAACATCCTTTAACTGAAATTGAGCCTGCCAAAAGAACCCAAACAAAAATGGTGGTATTCCTTGAAACTATTACAAAACTTGTTATAAATATACCGCTGAAATAATAGATGTAGGCTTCTGAGACATTTTGACTTAATAACTCCTTAACGATTAAAAAATGAGTGTGCTACAAAATCAATATGGCAGATAGGAACTGGATTGCAAACCTCGCGATGAATGCGTCCCCAGCGCCACAGCTGGAGGGGCGCCGCGCGGGCTTTGGGCTGCTGTTCCGATCTTCGCGTCGCTTGTGCAAGGACCGGCCCTTGGCCCAGCGGCAGCGTTTTCAAGGGTCACGCAGAAGACGAGGCAAAGCTGTGGCCGAGGAAATGCGCGGGAGATGGCGCGTCACGCTGCCGCGCGGCTGCCGGCGGGTGCCAGGCTGCGGGCCGGCGGCAGCTGGGGGGGCAGCGCGGGTGCCGCAGGCCGGTGCCACGGCGAGGGGAGGGGGGGCTGGTGCTCGGCGGGGCGGGGGGCTGCCGGCTCTGTGCGGGCGCCCGTCCCCGCGTGCAGAGCCGAAGCGCGAGAGCCCGGGGCTGAGCGTGCCCGGGCCAGCGCCCGCACGCAGCCGGGTGCAGAGCTGCGGTGTCGGCGAGGCGCCCCGCGCTGAGCAGATATTTTTCTGAGCTGTCTGCAATACCTACATCTTCTGCATGCTGCTCGTGACTGTTTCTAAAAACATAAAGGGGCCTTTTAGAGAGCTGAGCCGGTCTTTAATATCTCTGCATTGACTAAAAATGATACCGGAGTGACATTTAGAAGTATTATAAGGAAAGGGCAGCTATTTATTTCTTATTAAGTGTTTTTTCCCTTGAGGGGCTGTAACTGAGCGCAGGACTGGAGCAGCAGGCTGCCGGGCTGAGGCTGGCGGGTTACTGGGTGCCCATCCCCGTGGAGCCGGTCGCTGCTGTGGAAGCTTTTTCCCGGCGCGCCGGGGCAGGCTGCGGGCACCCGGCCGGGGCGCCGTGCCCCCCGTGCTCGGCTCGGCCACGGACCTGCGCCTTCGCGGGTCTCCGTGCTGCGGGCCGGGGCCGGTGCTCCCCGGTGGACACCGTCCTCCCTCCCGGCTGCACCCCGCTCCGCGAGCAGCCGTGTACCCCTCGGGGGTACGGCCGGTTTGGGGGTGCACGTACGGGACAGCTCTAAGGCAGCAGCCGCCACCCCCCTCTCCCTGCACCGTCACCGGCAGCACCCCTGGCGGGGGGGGGGGCGGGAGGGGACCCCCTGCCCCGCCCGGGGGGGCAGCAGGAGGGTGGCGGTGAGCAGCCCCACAGGGGCTGTGGAAGTGTGGCCCCACGGACCCGGGGGGGAGAGGCAGGGCGCGGGGGGGGGGGGCGTGGGGGCTGCACGGTGACGCTGTACGCGCCGACAGGGGCTGCGGGGCGGGGGGGCTGCAGGGTGGGTGCTGCCAGCGAGGCTGCAGACAGCCCCGGCACCCCCCCGCCGTGTGCAGGGTGCTGCGAGCGGGGGGTCTGCGGTGCGGACAGGTCGGGGGGCAGAGGGGACCCACCCTGCCTCCGCGCTGCCCCCGTGCAGAGAGCACTGCTGGCACCCCCCCGCCCATCCCCACCCACCCCCTGGCACTGCCCCCCCAAACTGTCACAACACCCCCCCCCCCGCACACACACCCACCCCCTGCACCCCGTACGCGGCTCCCCCGGGAACCCCCCCGAACTACCGCACCCGCCGGCACTGCCCCCCCAAACTGTCACACCCCTCAGCACACCCTGTCCCCCGGGAGCCCCGCCCCCCGGCACTGCCCCCTAAACTGTCACACTCCCCCCGCCCCCCACCCCGCCCCCGTGCGCGGCTCCCTCGGGAACCCCCCGAACTACCGCACCCCCCGGCACTGCCCCCCCCAGTTGTTACAACCCCCGCCCCCCACACACCCCCGGCCCCCCGTGCGCGGCTCTCCCGGGGACCCCCGAGCCGCCCCTCCCGCCCCCCGGCACTGCCCCCCGGCACTGCCCCCCCAAACTGTCTCACACCCCCCCCGGACCCCCGAGCCGCCCCTCCCGCCCCCCGGCACTACCCCCCGGCACTGCCCCCCCAAACTGTCTCACACCCCCCAGACCCCCGAGCCGCCCCTCCCGCCCCCCGTTGCTGCCCCCCGGCACTGCCCCCCCAAACTGTCTCACACCCCCCCCTGACCCCCGAGCCGCCCCTCCCGCCCCCCGGCACTGCCCCCCCGTCTGTCTCACCCCCGCCCCCACCGCGGACCCCCTCCCGCCCCCTCCCGCCCCCCGTTGCTGCCCCCCCGGGCCGGGGCAGCGCGGCGGCGGCGGCCGCTAGGGGGCGGCTCGGTGCGCGGCCCCGCGGCGGGTCGGGGCGGGGGCGGGGGCGGGGGCGGGGGCGAGCGGGGGCCGGGGCGGCGGCGGGAGCGGCGGCGGGAGGCGGCGGGGCCGGCGCCGTCCCCGTCCCCGCCCGCAGGGGGAGGAGCCGCCGGCGGCGGCACCTGCCCCGGGCCATGGTGCGCGCGGCGGCGGCGCGGCGCCGGAGGGAGCGGAGCGCCGAGCGGGGCGGGCGGCGCCGCGCCATGGAGCCGGCGGCGGGCGGCGGCCCCCCCGCCGCAGCCGGTGCCCCCCCCGCCGCAGCCGGTGCCCCCCCAGCCGCAGCCGGTGCCCGCGCCCGGGCGGCGCCGCGGCGGCCGGGGCTGCGCTGAACCCCCCTCCCCGCCCCGGCCCCCGCCATGGCGCAGCCCGCGGGCCGCGGCGGGCCGAGCCGCGAGCTGCCGGGCATCAGCACCGTAACCTACGTCTTCGTTTACAGCCCCGGCGGCCCGGCGGGGCCCCCCGGCCCCGGCGCCGAGCCCGCGCCGCACGCCGCGCCCGCCCCGCTGCGCGGGCCCAAGCGGAAGCTGTACAGCGCCGTGCCCGGCCGCAAGTTCATCGTGGTGAAGAGCTACGCGCCGCAGGGCGAGGGCGAGATCCAGCTCAACCGGGGCGAAGCCGTCAAGGGTGAGTGCGGGCGGGGGGCGGCGGGCGGGCGGGCGGGGGACCGGGGGATGGCTCCCGCCGGCTGCGGGTCCGGCCCGGGGGTCCCGCTCCTCGGGCCGCGGGGCCGGTCGCCCCGTCTGTGGCGGTGGGGTCCCGTGGGGGCTGCGGGGCTCCCCTCGCCCGGCTGCGGGGTCCCCGCTCGGCTCCAGCCCTGCGTCCCTCCGTCGGAGCCGGGGGGGGGGGCAGCGAGCCAGCCCTGGCTGCGGGTCCCGGGGGGGGGGCGCAGGGCCGTGGGGTGCTGGTGGGGCTGCCCGGTCAGGCCCTAGATACGGGGCCACAGCTCCTCGGCACGGCCCCGGGGCCCTGGCCCCGCAGTTGGTCCCTGGCCACCGGTCCCACCCTGCGCCACGGGGCTGTGGGTGCCGCGCTCGGCTGGGACCCCCCAGGAGAAGCGGGTGCCTCTCTGAGCCCTCCTGCCCCCAGCCGAGGGTTGGTCCTGCCTCGCACCCGCCACGGGAGCCTGCGAGGCTCCCACCCTCCGCCAGCCCACCCCTCGCTGGGCGCGGGCTGAGGGGGAGGTGGGCGAGGAAGCGCTTCCGAAACAAAACTCCCAGCCACCCGCGCTGAGGAGCCGCGGCGACGCAGAGCTCGCGGGGGGATGAGAGGCTTGGAGGGATAATGGCACTGCCCGTTAGGTTGGGCGGACTTCGAGAAAGACGTGTAAACCCTGCGGTAGGTCGTGAGTCGGCTTCCAGCAGGCAGGGATAAGAAAAGGCTTCCGCTGCAAGCGGGCTAATTCCATAGTTTTTCACAGAAAGTTTAAGGATCTTCTTTTCATCTTCCTGCCTCCACTTTTTCTGCTGATGCCTCTTGCAGCGCAGGCTGGAGCAGTCACTAATCTGACTAGTTGCGTTCACTGCAATGTGGCTCTAAGCTTGGCCGTGGGAGACAGGGTTTGCTGTTCCGTGCTCTGGATTGCTGCTTCAGAAGCACATTAGACCTCTTGAGTCCTGGGCTGTGGATGCCAAAAACCTCCCCTCGGAGGTGGCAGTCCAAGCAGTCCTGCTGTTGCCACCACCCATGCGTCTTTGTCCCGAGTGGAGGAGGGGGTGGACGCGAAGTGCCTGTGGCTTGGCCCGTGTGCCAGGTGGCGAGGCTTTCTGCCGCGGGGCAGCCGGAGTCAGCGGGTGTGCCGTGCGTGGAGCTGCGCCTCGCGTGCTGGTGGGGTGAGGGTGTTTGTGGCCAGGAGGTTGGAAGGAATCAACAGACGGGAAGGGCTTTTGGGTCAGAAGCGCTCTTCCCATCTCTTGCCTTCACCCACTTACCCAGTGTTTTCTGTCACGCCCTTCTGTATCTCCTGATGCATTTGCATTAGGTAGGTGGTCCTGATGCCATTCCTTAGTAATTGCAACAGAATGCTTAATTCACGTATTCACCTGTGATTGTTTGCATATCTTCTTGATGTGATCTCCAGAGAAAAAGAAAGTTGTGGGCAGCACCATGGGGAGGAAGAGCAGACCAGGATGGGCAGTGGCTCCTCGGACTCTCAGCTGGCTTCCTCAACGTGTGGCTGAGAAGGCTTAATAAGAGTTAAGAGAATCACTTCGGTGACTCGCTTATGAAAGATCTCCAGGCAGTGTAGATGGGCAGCGCTCAGTTATTTACTGCTTTTGAGATGCCGATTAATTTTTGCGAGGATAGGAATATTGACAGTTATTGGATAGGGTGCCCTGACGTTGCAGACAGGTAGGGTGATGGGGATAAATGGAAACCAGCAGCCTGAGCGGAACTGCTGCGGCTGGTGCTTTGTCATGTTTGGTGGACTCGTGACTCCTTTGGAAACGGGGTAATCCTCCGTGGGAAGAACTCTCTCGCACCCGGCTTGTGGGAATTAGAAGCCAGTTAAGTGAGGGCCCCTGACCGAGCTGGTGCTGGACTTGTGCTTCGAGCTAACGGGGGTGCCAGGGTGTCCACAAACGGGCAGCAGCGGGGCGAGGCGGTGGGAGAGTGCACCCGGAGGGGATGCCTGGCCGTGGGCAGCTGCTTTGTCAGCCTGGGGGACTTCGGATCAGGGTCCTGAAAAGGATGTGCCAGCGGGGTGGGGACTAACTGAGCTGCCCAGGAATCAGAGTGTTGGGGTGTTGTGGGTGGAGGGTCCTGGAGGAAGAAGGTGGCAGTTGGGGGAGGCGTTGAAGTGTGGTGGGGATCAGCAGAGGAGCTGCTTGGGGAAGGGTGGGAGCTGATTCTGGGAGTGTTGTCAGAGAATTGCTGGAGGCAGTTGCCTGATGAGGTGAGCTGCGTTTGGGGAGATGCGGAAGGGCGGGAGCCCTGCATGGAGGGAGCTCTCAGAGTGATGATGAGGGAGGAACCTGTCTGAAGGTGCAGGTCTGAGTGAGGAGCTGTCTATGGGCAGGAGTGTGCTGTGGGAAGGGACCTCCACAGGCAGGGCTGTGCTGGGCAGGCAGGGGCTGGGAACTGGAGATGGCTGGTGTGGAAGCTGTGATACAGGGCTGGTGTCTCATCTTCCGATGTGTTAGTGAGGGGACCTAACAGCCATCCCTTCAATGCGGTGATACTCGGTGATTTCAGGTGGCTGGGGCTGCAAGCAGCTACTGTCAGAGAGGAGAATGGCTAAACATCTGGCAATTTTTATCTTGAGAATTGCAGAGAAGGTGGAGAAGAGTTTGAGGTGGAGTAACGTGAGCACCCCTGTACTCGTGTGTGTGTAAGCCACGTAAGCGTTTGTGTACGGCCCTGTTGGAAGCGTGACTGTTATGAAGGAGATGCTGCTTGTTGGTGTGCTGTCTTGTGAGAAGGCTGAGCATCCTTGAACATCCAACCAGAGTTGCATTCTGAGGCGGTGTTCCTTGTTGAAAGCAAATGGACTCCTGCAAAAGTTCTGCTGAATGCTGACATCAAGCAAGGGTCTTGTGTACTGGATTTGGTGGAGCGAGGGATGCACTTGAGCCTTGCAGTTGTGATGGATTTTCTCGGGGCTTTGCAGTAGGAGATGGTTTGGTTTCAGAGCACAGTGGAAGTTAAGGGTTTCTGTCTTGACTGTATACCGTAACTGTCCTGGTAGCTGGTGAATGACAAAAGGCAATAATCAATACAGTTAATTCGTTTGTAAGATAGCTAAAGAATTCAAGCAGAGGAGAGTCTGTCCTTGATCTGCTTGTTACTGATAATGAGAAATGAGATGAGATGCGAGCGCCCCAAGCAAAGGGAAAACCAGTAGTCACCAGCACTGAAATCACAAGGTCACAGGGAGAAATGGTTCACAGGTAAGGCACAATGAGGACTGAATCTCCAGACTGGAAACTAGGGAGAAATTAGGAACACAATGAACATGCTGGTTTTGGAATCTAATTTCTTTGCACTTTGTGATTAAGAGGAGTTATTCTCAAGCAACTGTTACCATGTGCATCCAACAGTAGGTTTTCCTCTCTAGTGTGGTTCTTTATTGACATTCCCTACTGCAGTATCTAAGATAACCCTCTGTAAAATAAATGGCAAACTGAATTTCTGTTGGCTGTAGTTATGGTTTTGTTGAATTATTATTGTAGCAGTTCTCAGTTGTGCTGGAGGTTGTTTAGAGAGAGAGGATTATTTTACTTGTGAATAAAGTTGTTACTGCACAGAGAATATCGTTTTCTGTTAGTGGAGGGTTTTGCAGTTTCTGTTTGGTGATGAGCCAGCTAGTTTTCTCTGGACTTTCTTTATCCAGCCAGAAACATTTAAGAGAGGCTGCTCGTGCACAGTTGGCTCTGGGCGGTAGGATCCCCACAGGAAGGCAGCTGTTGTGGTGGTTAGAGATGGAGCCATTAATAACTTGGAAGGTTAGCCAAAACTTGAAACGTCACCCTCAAAATATCTGTGCCCATGGTGATCCAGAGCAAAGGGGTGACAAGCAGCTGCCTCCTCACCAGACTGCTGTTTCTGTGTTCCTCTCGTTCCCAGCGCTGGAAGAACAGAGATTGAGAAGGAGTCTCGTGGTCAGTGAGTTGAGTCCTTGGCCCATGCACGGCTTTAGTCACCTGTAAACTCATCACGCTCCACCTTTAAAACCACTGACGCTTTACTCCTGCTGTTCTGGTGGGGAGGCTGCCCTAGAACCTTCCAGACTTCAGGCTTCATCTCTTCTAACTTCTGGTACAAGTGTTCGTGGCTGGTTTAATAATTTTTTTGGTGTGTCTTTAGACACAACAGACTGCTGTGATCTGGCTGTGAGACATCAAAGGCACTGTGACCAGGTCCTCGTTTGGAAAGAGGAGACTGCTTTTTCCTTTCCTAACAAATGAAATGACTTAGTCATGATTCCTGCCCGCTAGCCTTATTTTAGTGATTCACAGAGCAGGGATCCCAGGCTTCACTGGCTCTGAGGGCCAGGTGCCTGAGAACAGTATCCCACCTGATGCTGCAGAGCATCTCCTGGTGCTCATTGTCTGCCGGGTCTCTTCAGCTGGGGCCACCCTGTCCTGTGGGTGCTGACTCGGCGTTCTGCCCAGCACCAGGCAAAGCTGGGGCTCATGGGCAGCCTGTGGCCCTCTGAGCTCCGCTTCACTCTCTGTGCTCTTGTGGCCCTTGGGTGCCGACCGTCCTTGCTTTCTGTCTAAGGAACACTTTAACTCCCCTGGGGACTGAAATACATTAAAAAAATGCCTTTGACCCCAACACTGTGAGTATGCTGAGAGCTGGACTGTAAGAGTGGATGAACGCTGTTCCAGTTCTCTGCAGCCCTAAGTTTCTTGGAGGTGGTTGGGCACGAGTGGGGATCCTACCAGGGCTTTGGAGAACAGGAGTCGTTACCTCTCATCTGTGACCTGGGGGGAGTGATGGCAGACCGCTGTGCAGGGCTGTCCCCGTCTGCTGTGGTACGTTCCTGTGCCGTGGCTTTACCAAAGGTGCTCTGCCATGAGCACGGCAGTCGTGGCCACTTGTCCCGGTGTGACTTGAACGATACCTCGTTTGGGAGCAAGGCACAGGCATCCTAATTGGGTGGCTGAGGTGGTTAGGTGTTG